TGTGCCTGCAAGGTCCCCCTGCTCAAGAAAGCACATCTATAGGCCCGTTTGAAGTTTGCCACCGAACATCTGACTGATTCAGAGGAAGACTGGGTGAATGTGTTGTGGTCAGATGAGACCAAAACCGAACTCTTCGGCATCAACTCAACTCGCCGTGTTTGGAGGAGGAGGAATGCTGCCTATGACTCCAAAAACATCGTCCCCACTGTCAAATATGGAGGTGGAAACATTATGCTTTGGGGGTGTTTTTCTGCCAAGGGGACAGGACAATTGCACCGCATCAAAGGGAGGATGGATGGGGCCATGTACCGTCAAATCTTGGGTGAGAACCTCCTTCCCTCAGTCAGGGCATTGAAAATGGGTCGTGGTTGGGTATTCCAGCATGACAATGATCCAAAACACACGGCCAAGGCAACAAAGGATTGGCTCAAGAAGAAGCATATTAAGGTCATGGAGTGGCCTAGTCAGTCTCCAGACCTTAATCCCATAGAAAATCTGTGAAGGGAGCTGAAGGTTCGAGTTGCCAAACATCAGCCATGAAACATTAATGACTTGGAGAAGATCTGCAAAGAGGAGTGGGTCAAAATCCCCCCTGAGATGTGTGCAAACCTTGTGGCCAACTACAAGAAACATCTGACCTCTGTGATTGCCAACAAAGGTTTTGTCACCAACTACTAAAGCACGTTTTGCAAAGGGATCAAATACTTATTTCATTCATGAAAATGCAAATTACTTTATAACTTTTTTTGTAATGCATTTTTCTGGATTTTTTTGTTATTGTGTCTCTCACTGTTCACATAAACCTACCATTTAAATTGTAGACTGATCATTTCTTTGTTAGTGGGCAAACTTACAAAATCAGCTGGGGTTCAAATAATTTTTTTCCTGACTGTATGGTGGACACTGAGTGTATACTGTGTGTAATCTGTGAGGTAGCTACTGGTCACACAAGCACAATATCAATATGCTGTGTATCAGTGTGTTTTCAAAGAGTCTGACTTCCTCATCATAAATCAGTGCAGACCCCAATTTACCAATTTTTGTTATGTGGCTGCATTTATCAGTGTTTAATGTGTCTGTGGTTTGCATTTATACACAGTCTGTAGTTTACATACAACTAAGCAGTAAATGACTGACTGATCACACTGTTCAGTTACTGCATCTATAAGTCAGCAACTGTTGTTGGTCTGGGAGGTTTGCATTCGGTCTTCAGAGCTGCTGAAGTCAGTGACACTGTAAAAACTACTGTCCAATAGAGAACTGTTTTCTGATTACATGAGATAAAACCTCCTGCTGTTTGTTGTCAGGCTTAAACACTCATAACAATATGTAAAGAGGGCTGTCTTTAAAAATGAATGTGCTGCTTTTCACAAACACAAACAATGGTGTGAGGTATGTTCAGGTATTTCTTCCAAGAAGTAGCTTGTTGGATAAAAACCTGGATACACTCCAGACTGTCATGTGACCCTGCTTCGTGGAACAGACCCAGCTTCTCTGTAAGTACAGTACTGAAATGTTTTCTAACTGATGGACAGGTGACTCACTGGTGCCACGTGTGACATATTCAGTGCAGTGTGGAGAAAGATCATTGTGTCTTCACAAAGCACTAGAGAAAGTGCCAGCTTTATATTTATATACAAGGAAGTTTCAGTGAATTACACTGTCACAATAAAAACATATTACCTTGTTATTATAGTGAATGGTTGTAAGCTAATTTAATTATAAACCATTAGTTCCATAAACAACGTGTATGAAGACTTTAATCTGATGTAAAACATAACAGTGAAACGTAGTTCATTTCAATTTAATTGTTGTATTTAATTTGTTTCATTTTACACACATTTGTTATATTGTAACATGTCATTATTGGAAAAACTGAAATATCACACAACTGACAACATTTACACATCAATTTAATGTTGTACAGTAACTGTTTAAGGCGAAGCTGACTTTTTATACTACTGTTACTTATATGTGTATATGTGTGTGTGTGTGTGTGTGTGTGTGTGTGTGTGTGTGTGTGTGTGTGTAGTTTAATTAAATGGATCATAATTTAAAGCAGATATGATTTTAATGTAAAGTCTGTAAATCTGTAAAGTAACTGCAGCTGTCGGACGTATAGATTAATGTAGTGCAGTTAAAAGTTAGGACTGCCCTCTGAAATGTAGTACAGAAAAAGTATAAGGTAACATTAAATGAATATACTCAAGGAAAGTACAAATACTGTATCTTAAATGTGCTTGGTTACCTTCCACCACTGAGGTTAATTCTATGAGTTTTATGAAAATGTGTGTATTAATTAGTAATTAAAATAAGCTTTAACAAATGTCTCACTGTAGTGAGTTGGTGAATATTTAGCTTTATCAGACAATCTGAAAGTATTTTCCAAAGTATTTCAAAGCGATCTGGAAAATATTTTTTTTAAATAAAATTTTCCATCTTTCCCGCGGGATTTGAACGCATCACCAATACTGCTTTTAATTTACAGTGACGTCAGCGGCTTCAGGTGGAGCGGCATCTTACACCTTTCACACGCGCACTTAAACGTGGTGCCGTGCTCACCTGTAAATATACGGAAGTGAAGTGAAGAGAAGGGTTATTGATTAGGTGAATGTTTAATATTTGTTTATGACGGACGTTACTGCTTCATGTAAACGACAAAGGTGTGATGGAGCTGCAGCGTCACTGAAACGGATACAGCTGCTGGACATAGTTTTCTCTTCTGACCAATCTTCACGTGAACTCTGGAACAACCTCCGACATGTTCTCCACAACCCGCGAGGTAAACAGACTTTATGTACCCTGGCCTAGCTTAACTTTATGAGTGCATTTTACAAGTTCTGGGTTAGTCTTCTAACAACAGGTATTCTAATCCACTTGGCTCTTTCATGATTCATTATTGCACTGATACTTTGGTTAAACATGCAAGCCACCTGTTATATTTCAGTATCATAAAGTTTTAAACTGGCTGAAACAAGCAGACAAAAGCAGCTGGAAGTGAAAAGTTATTTTCAGTATCAGTTGATTGTTTTATTGTTTTGTCCAATAATTTGTTTGTTTGATAAAATATCAGCTAGTAGAGGAAAGTGGTGGTTTTCAAATGTCTTGTTTTGTCTAAACAACACTCCAAAAATCTTTTTTTTATAACAATACAGAATAAAAAAAGCAAATCAGTTTTTAAACAGTGTTGCTGATTAATTTATTCTTGATTACTAAGTGATTAAATGTATTAATTAATTTGTTTGTTTAGCTGTAAAGCAAATAGAAATTGTATTACTGCAGGTGAAGTATGACTATCAAGAGGTGAGTGCTGTATATACACTCTAACTGCAGTTGAATGACACACCGTTTGTGTGTGGTGGTGGTGGGGCTCAACAGATCAGAAGTGAAACTTGTTTGTCACTTGGAGTCTCACCCATGTTTAAAGTTCGCTGCAGTATTGGCCTGTTGTCGATCCAGGATATCCCACTGCTCTCCCAGAATAGTAGCCAGGTTTATCTATGGACCTGTCTCCACTGTGAAATGTATGAGGACTGAAAAGCGTTAAAGGCTGTAGAATAGAAAAACAGTGGGAGAGCTCAGTATGTTGGGCAGGTCTGAACCTGCCAGCTGCTGAATATTGCTCCCACAGCTGTGCATACATTGGAGTTGTGAAAAAATGAATTAGATACATTACAAACTAAGGCCAAACAAACAAACAAAGGTCTTTTTGCTCATGTTTTTGTGCTGGAGGATTCTGTTATGATCACTCAGAATATTTTCCTGTACACTTCACTCCACTGTCCAGTTTTTTAGGTCCACTCAAACTAAGTCAGTCTGATGATGATGCTGTTGTCTGACAGTCAAATGATGTTTGTTTCATATGAGGTGGTGAGAAATGTAACATTAGTTTCAGCAATTTCATTACTGCTCTAATGTAGTTTTATAATGAAATAAATATATTTCAAATAAGCTGCATTTTAAATGCAGGCTTTGTTGTGTTCACTATCAGTAGTTTATACATGCAGATGTAAAAATTCATTTCGCTTTTGGGTCTTGAACTGAAAATGTTTTGGAAACCAGGCTATGGATGGTAAAAAAAACCTGAGTGGACAGAAGTGAGCGCATTTTATTGTTCATGAATTCTGTGGGGACACATTTCTTTTTTTCAGCATTATTTCATTTAGCCAAATCAGCAAACCAGTATGCTTAGTTTTTCTTTTCATTGTTTGTTGCCTTTGTACAGTTACAGGGTGGGGTGACAACTTTCATGATGCATTAAGGAATGCCTTAGAGGTCAGAAACTTAGAATAGTTTGGATAGCAGGAGTTTCACACACAGGGTGAAACATATTTTGCATGACTGTTTAACCGTCTGGATAGTGATCACATCTAGCAGAAGATTCTTTCTATCCCTTACTATAGGAGATTGTCTCCACAATGATGCTGTTTCTTTCCATGCCTTATTTGCTGTGATTTTGTTTTTAAAAGATAGACAAGTTTTTTTTTCTTTAAAGCCGGATGATACAAATATAGCTGAATGGTTCAAAAGATAATTATGGGATATGGCATAACACAACAAGTGCTGTTTAGCACTTGGTTAAAATGAAAACTACTGAAACTATAGTATCAGTGGAGAACAGACAAAGTCTCTAAACTCAGTAATGTTTTATGCATGAAAATGTACCTAAGATTTGCTAACATCAGCCACCATAAGCTAACAGTTCATAGCAGACCAGGTGAGTCTAAATGTATTACCTGTAAGAGCTCTGTAATATGAGAAAGCAAAATCACTATGCTTATACCATACAGTATGTGTACAGTAGTTACAATGTAAACCTATCTGTGTGTTAAAGCAAGACATGGAGCTGTGGGACAGACAGAAGGATGGTAACTGCACTGAGCCTTTACTTCCTTTTACGGTAAGACTCCACTGATCATCTCTGTACGCCTCTTGTCTGAACTTTTCATACATTAACATGATAACCAAAGGCAGGCTGTAGGCAGAAATGACCTCTTTGACTTTGTGAACAAATGAACCTGTGTAATATGAACATGTACAGAGTTTTATCTTTTAAGATTAAACAGTGAACCTCTTCATGTCTGGTGTCCCATTTACATGTTGTATTTGGCTTATTGGAATGTGAAAACATAACTGGAGCTCGCAGTTTCCTCCTGTACTTTAATTGGTTTCTCAGCCTTCCTCACTACTGCAAATCTGAACAACAGGACATGATCCAAGTTTTACTTTCAGTTCAATTCAATTTAACTCAGAGGAGGGGGTGTGCCTGCAGAGCAGTCACCCATGATTGCTTAAATGTCTGCATCTTTACTCCTCAAGCATTAGCATTACAAGCACAGTGTGTAAACACAGCTGACTGCATATGTGAGAGGGGAGCAGCCCCTCCCTCTTCTAAACAGAGACTGATAGAAAGAAAATACACTGGAAAAACACAGCAGGATGGTCCGCATCAACCCCAGAGGCTATGCTTGGTGATGATGGTTAAGGGAAGTATGGGGTGTACTGCTGGTTAGGTTTTTATAGTGAAAATGCAGCAGCAGTGAACCGGCGACAGGGTCACTGATGATGAGGTCGACCTACTGTAGATTAAACATTTAAATTTCATTCATCCTTTTCAAACGATTCCATTTTGTTTGAATCTTTGTTAAAATGGTTGAAAATGAGAAACTGTACATTGATCTCTATGAAAAGAAACATTCAGTATTGATATCACACTTAGTGTGGAGGCTGTTGAATTTGTATAAATATGTTCTGTAACTTGTCAGAGGGCTTTCACTGAATTGGAGACACATTTGTGCTCTTCCTGGTAGAAGCAAACAGAATAAGATGCACAGTGAGCTGCAGAGTGACACGAGTGCCAACCAACTGCCGCATTGACTCCTATCTAAACAGTATTAGGCAGGTGGTCATAATGTTGTGGTAAACAGGTGTAACCTGCTTCTTTGAACAGATCCTGGCTGATTCACTGAAGGAGCAGGTGACTAGCCTGTTTGCTAACAAGATAGAACATGTAGATAAGACAGAGGAGTAGAGGTGTTGGAGGGCAGTTTTCATCTGCCCCTGGTCTTTGTGCTCAGTGTGGGGTTGGACTGCTGACAACAATATTGGTCTCTTCTGATATGAACAATAATAATAACAGAAGACACTGTTTTGGTCCTGACTTTTTTAGTTGTGTGTTGCAGCACAGTGAATGAGCGGTGTATGGACTTCAAACCATAATGTTTCTGAATTTAAGAATCGGTCAGATGTTCAGAGGACTTTGGATGGAATTATTTTAAATCCAAGTATGCATTGTAATGACCTCTTCTTTCATTCTGACTTTTTAACTTAAATGCAGGTAAACACACTGAATGGCTCTCAGGTCATTTCAAAGATGTTGGATGGTGAAGTCAGGCCGCTGTGCACACCAGTCTTCTACACCAAACTGGGAAAACCACTTCTTTATGGAGCTGGCTTTGTGTCCTGTTGAAAGTAGAAAAGGCCTTCTTACCAAAAGACAGGATGCTGCTGTATTGTGTAGCATTTAAGAGTTAGTGTAACTAAAAGGCCTAAACATAAAAAACAGTCCCACTGCCAGAAGTACAAATGGACAGTGTCCACATACTTAAATTTAGAGTATGTAAAAGAACTAGACAACAGAACCAACAGAACTCACAACCTCAAAATGGAAAAAGGCTGGAATCCCACCTCCCCATCACACAGTTGACCAATCACTGAGTGAGGTGGTTATGATGTCAGAGAGTCTGAAAGGAGTGTAACCTGTAAAAGTCAAGTCAGTAATGATTGTATTTCTACCTACAGTATAGTGGCCATTATCACTGTGGGTGTTTTTGTGTTTGAACAGCCTCCTCAGAGGACATTTGATTATGTCCTGGTGGCCCACAAGGTGGATGATGACAAAGACCAGAGGGCTCAGAGACAGAGAGCCTTCATCCAGGAACTCGAGAAGAAAAACATCAGCATCACTGTGAGTCACTTCACAACACGGTGACCTGGCACATACTGTGATGTAGTATGAATGACTGTGTGAATAAAAAGCTACCTTGTCAAGATGGAATTGTGGTGGCATGTTGGTGCCATGACAGTCTATATAACAGATACAGACCCAGAATAGAGGGCCGTTGTTGACCCTGTATTATGCCAGCAGTTCAGGTAGTAAAGTAGCAACACTTTTAAATCTTTTAAACAACAGTTAATATCTAATAAGGAGGAAACTAGTCACCCTGAATGTCATGTTAAACATCATGCCTCCACTACTGGGATACTGGCAGCTGCCTAAATAGAACATTTTTGGCTTTGTTTGGTTTAGTGTAAATAAGCAAAGCTCTCATAATGAAGAGTCAATTTAATGTCAGTATACCAGGATCTCAGTCTGAAAGAGGTAAAAGATAACCCATTCATGTGTGTGTTAGACACTTCTCCATGAGAACAAACTGTTCTTCGGCCTGCGTGCTCCCAGGGGGATGTTTGAAGACTACCAGTATCTGCTCAAAGTCTCCGACTCCTGCAACCCTTATTCTGAAACAAGGGGAGATGTCAGTGAGACTAAAGTCTCTTACCCCCGCAGCCTTTGTTCTGAAACAAGTAGAGCTGTCAGCCAGACTACCAGGTAACTAACACATACGCACACAGTACTGCATTTAGCCTAACCACAGTGACATAAAATGGGATGGACAAAATAATAGAGAAATGTGCAGTTGTTCTATTAATTTGGTCAGCTGGTTCTCAGTGCTTCAGGAGTTTGTTAAACAGTAAGTTGTTCAGTTTAGGCTGCATGATGTGTCCCAGAAATGCACTGCAGTTTACGGGACTGTGAGTCACTCAGGATGGTTAGCTTTTCTGAATATCTTGTAGCGGACCTGGAGATCCCATCAACGGGAGGAACAGACTTCACACACTGTTCTGACCTCAGATGAATCCATTTCTGTCCTGTCTGAGCTCAGACTGATGATTAAAGTGGACATCTGGATTTAGTTGAAGCATCTGCTACTTTGTTGCTGTATGGGATAGCATTTATTTTCTACGTTATGCATAACGATGACTTTTTTATTATTCCTGCTCAACTGTTTTGCACATGTAGGCCTAAAAAATATGGATGTGTCACGTTATAGTCACTTTGCATTTGTAAGGAAAACAAATTCCATTGCACAGTATATTTACAATTTAGCTAAAATGTGACCTTTCCATCATTTTATAGTCAAGGGAACAACATGTTGCTCACTTGTTGCATGTAAAAAAAAAATAAAAAAAATAATTAACAGTTTATTCTGTAAAGCACTTTATGCTAAACTGAATCAAACTTTCTCCAGGATCCGAATTGTCCATTTCATCCTTCATCAGACCTTCATCAACACAGGAGGTGAGTGTGATTAGTTTAGAAAAGCTTACATGTATAATCTGTGGCTGTGTAGAGCATCCAGAAACATACCGGTATCTCATGCACACAGACTTTCACCAGGCAGTTATGAATACTGATAAGTGAACGGATGTGAAACGTGTGATTGGTAACAGAAAACCCAGTAGCTTTTCATGCAGACACTGTGTTTTCTTCTGCCAGAGAACCTGGAGGAACTGCTGAAAAGCAATGTGTTTGAAACCGAGTTCTGCCTCCATGAGGTGAGTCAGATTGACTGCTGCTGTCTTGATCCCAGGCCTTTTATAGTGATTATCTGCTGACACCAAGCCAGATCTGATACTCCTATTTACCTAAATGAACAGCTGCTCAGTGCTCGCTCAGCTGCAACATAAACATGAGATCGGATATGGAACGGAATTCATCCTGAAAGAAATGTTGCCAGAGATGCTCAGTATACAGTACACAGTAAAAATAGTTATACACAGCAGCAAAGTATATGACATGTTGCTTAACTAACTAATCATTAGTTATAAATATTAAATATGTTTCTGAGATATTGGCAAATCAGCTGTAATCTGTTCAGACTGACACACCATATTTTTCTTGAGCAGTTTGTTTCAAATGCTGAAGATCCTGATTCAAGATGATTTTCATGTGGTTCTATCTGTTACAAAAACAGTTCACTGCTATTGTGCTATTGGAAATAAGAGCTGTGAAGATGAACACAGGACATAGACACATCATGAAAATCATTTTTGCCCAGATTTTGACATGTTGATGTGAAACGTAATCAGTGTATTATGACATAAACTCAAAACTCAATGTCTGTGTGTTTAATTTTTTTATGATCCTCAGAGAAAGATGCAGAAAGGGCTGACCAAGAAGTGGGCTCGATGGGCGCTTCTGTGTAAAGGACAACCAATTAGTGATGTCAAGTCAGTGAATCTATTATGCTTTTTGTTTCTTACAGGGAGAGCAGTTGTCTTAATTTAGCCTAATTGTAGACCCACAGCGTCAGAGTTTGAATACCTCTGGTTTAGACAGATGATCATGACATGTGTACAGGAATGCATAGACAGGGGAAATGAAACGTGCCTAAATGTCCAGCTATGTTTACAAGTTCAGTGTAAAAAATAGTCTCTCACTTGGACTTGTATTCTTAAAACCAGCTAGATGGAATGACATGTCATCCCTTCTTAAAGACCAAAGTGTTTAAATTCAGAGGCTGAGTGAAAACCCAGAATTTCACTACCTGTCTCATGTCTGAAGAATTCTATCATTCTAGTCTCCTCACCATAAATTGGTCAAATGTGGATTGTCTTGCCAGCATGACTCTTGCCTATGCATTTCTGGAGCATTTTATTTTCCTCTCTACAGGTCTTACTTTGGAGAGAAGGTGGCTCTGTATTACCTGTGGCTGGGCTGGTACACCAGGCTGCTGGCTCCAGCTGCTGCTGTAGGTGTTGTGGTGTTTCTTTATGGACTTGCCTTTTTTAACACCAGCCCTCTCATGTGAGTTGACATATAGTTGCAAGAAAAAGTAATGTCACTGTTTGCAATTTCCTGGTTTTCTGCATAAATTGGTCATGAAATGTCATCTGATCTGACAAATATCAACAAACACAACTTTTCTAAGCTGATATACAGTCATGATCTTTCATGTATTTATTGATCACACCCATTAAACATACAAAATGATGGTGGAAAAAGTAATGGCAACAGTGTTTTAATAACTGGTTGAACCACCTTTGGCAACAATAATAACCTCAAGCAAGCTCTTCTTGTAGATGTGGATTAGACATGCACAATGCTCAGGAGGAATTTTGGCCTACTCTTCCTCACAGAACTGCTTCAGCTCAGCCATATTCTTAGGACATCTGCTACAGAGGTGTAGTGCTATTTGATGAAGTACCAGAGCACACCTGTGACGTGCGAATGTGCACACGCATGGTTAAGTTGTAGCTTGTTTCAAGGGCCATGTAAACACTTTTCGTAGGTTAGCAACTGTAATTGCTCACACGATCAAATGTTAGACTGACTTTATTCTCTGGTGTGGCAGAACAATATGAATAAGTAGCCATTTGTCACAGGGTGAATGTTACAGCCATAACTAGGGTGTAATCTCCACAGAGGATAGGTCCCACCCAAAATATGAAAAACAGAAAATTGTCCCCCACAATATTTGTCATGACCAATCATCAAATGCCGCCTAAATCTATAGGGAAATAAATGGTCTCCACTGCAGTGTTAAGCTCCTCCTGAGCTGCTCCTGCTTCGTGTTGATTTACATGTCAGCCAACAATAGTGAACACATCAGCTGTGTGTGAGACTTGCAACTGGTCAGCATGTGCCAGAGTTTGGCCATGTTGTGCCCTGCTTGTGTCACATAGACCTACAGCTGATCACTCACAGGTAAAACAGTTTGTTGAAATTCCAACATCACTTAAGTTAAATGTAAAGTCTGTTTCTGCTGCACAGTAACAGGTCTTTGAAAGCCAGAATTCTTGCCGTTTCTCAGGTGTTCAAATACTTATGTTCAGCAGTGCAAGACAAATAAATTCTTTAAAAATCATACAATGTGATTTCCTGAAATGTGGATGAACAAAACACACAAACACTTGCCAATTGCACATCAATCACCACATCTTAAATTTTATTATTACAACTTAGAGCATTCCATTTTGCAGGACATACACTTTACTGATATGGGATTTGTTGGGTTTTTCCTTAATAATAATAATAATAATAATAATGTCTAGACCTTACTTTGTAAAGTGTCCTGAGATGACTTTTGTTGTGGATTGGTGCAATGTAAATAAAATTGAAATTTAATTGAACTGGATCTTCAAATGCAATAATGCAACATTATGAATTTCAACCAGAGGAAAAATGTTGGAGAAAAGAAAGTGGCGGAGCGTCATTCTGGAGCATTTTGGCAACACTACACCTATGGTCTGGTGTGAACGGCTCCCTTGAGGTCATTCCACAGCATTTCTTTTGGGCTGAAGCATTTTGTGTTAGATTTACTTCATTGTTTTGGGTCATTGTCCTGCTGCATCACCCAGCTTGTTCCTAGTTTCAGCTTGCAGACATTCACCTTGACATTCATTCATTCCTGTAGGATACCTTTATAAACTTGGGAATTCATTTTCCCCTCCACAATGGTGAGAGGTCCAGGTCCAGAGGCAGCAAAGCAGGCACAAATCATGATGCTTTTCCAGGTTTGCTAACCCTTGACTCTAGTTGCCATTTAGTGACATTAGAAACCTGGTTGCCATTAATTTTTCCACCATCACTTTGTATGTTTAATGGGTGTGTTCAATAAAGACAGGAAAGATCATGACTGTGTCTTATCAGATTAGAAATACTGAGTTTGTTGATTTTTGTGACTTTGGTGAAGATCAGATCATGTTTCATGGCCAATTTATGCAGAAAATCAGAAAATTGCAAACGGTGCCATTACTTTTTCTTGCGACTGTTAATATACTGTATACGGAAGTCGCATTATGTGGCAAAGGGTCCATTTGTAATGTCAGTGCATTTAAAGATGTATATAATTTTAAAATGTATGACCTATGGGACTTCTAGTGGTAATATAAAAAAAACTTTCAAAGATACATTACTTCAGGAGAGCCATGATAAGCCAGCTGTTTCTGTTAATCATAGCTGTGCAGACAAGTAGCAGTAGCTGTGAGTAACTAATACAGCAAGACTTTTTATGTTCATTAACACCTTAATCTTTGTGTGTCCTCAGAAAGGAAGTGTGTCACTCCAACATCACAATGTGCCCTCGCTGTGATAACAACTGTAAAGTGTGGCAGCTGTCAGACACCTGTACCTATGCTAAGGTGGACCTCTCTTATCTGTCACTTTATTCTCTTCCCTGCAACCGGTTGGTGTCAGTTCACACTAAAGTATAACTGTATAGTATATGACTGCAACTCACTTAAACCGTTACTGTAACACAAAAGAGTATCAGTAATGATGTCATCATAGGTTTATGTGAAACTACTAAAAACAAGCTAATAATTGGGCTATTTATGGTGTGCAGGCCTCATTTCTACATAATAATAATAATAATAATAATAATCTCATTTAACCACACATGTCCATGAGTAGAAAGGGTAACCGTGGGCCACTGGTGAGAAAATGATTAAATAAGAAAGGCTGAAATAAAAGAGGTTTAAATACTCTGACTTTTATTTGCCATTGTGAGTCAAACACACACACACACATTTGTACTTCTGTCTTAGCGAGGAGACTCACTGACATAGTGCATTCCCTAATCTTAACCATAGGAAATACCTAATCATAACTTACACTGCTGCAAAATTGTATACGTGACATAAAACTCTGGCTATCGCAGAATTTTCTGCACTTAAATGAGGACAAGAGAGAAAACATCGTTTTCAGCCCCGACTTCATTGCTGTAGTACCTAGTTTAGGTGCCCTAGCACCTGCATGCACTGGCGCTGTGAGGAACCTTTGAGTCGTTTTTGACAGTGATTTTAACTTTGATAAGCAGATCAGATCCATGGTTAAAACCAGTTATCATTTGAGACTCGTAACAAAGGTGAAGCCTTTTTTTATTGTATGCCGATTTAGAAAAAGCCATCCATGCCTTCATCACCTTGCGTCTTGAATTGTAATGCCCTCTATGTCAGAATCTCTGTGTCTTCTGCGGAAGCTTCAACTGGTTCAAAATGCTGCAGCTCGACTGTTGTCAATGTCCACATCACCCCTGTGCTTCGCTCACTACATTGGCTGCCAATACAGTACAGAATTAACTTCAAAATACTACTATTTGTTTTTAAGACCATGAATGGCCTTGCTCCGCCATACATATCGGATCTTCTCTCTGTCTGTGTGCCACGCAGAACCCTGCGCTCCTCAGAACACCTGTCCCTGGTTGTCCCTCGGGCTAGGTACAAAAAATGGGGAGATCGCTCTTTTTCCGTGTATGGCCCCAGGCTTTGGAACTCCCTATCGCCAGAGCTTTGGGCCTAAACTGAGCTGGAAGCTTTTAATTCGACTCTGAAAACCCATGTTTTTAGACAGGCTTTTGGTATTTAGCTCGTTCTAATCTTAACTAATGTTTTCCTGTTGTTTTATGCTGTTTCTTATTCTGATAGGGATGTCTTTTATTTTGGGTATTTTTAATAATTTGTAGTTTACTCTGTTTAGGTTTTTGTTTTAGTATTGTCTTGTATTAGTGTCCTCTTGTGAAGCACTTTGTGCTCCTGCGGAGTTCTATAGTGCTGTATAAATAAACTATTATTATTATTATCATAACCCTAACACCCAATACCTAACCTGAACCCTAAAACCAAGTTTTAACCCTCAAAAAGATTTTTCAGAAAGTGAGGACTTGCCAAATTGTCCTCAATTTCCGAAAATGTCCCCACTTTGTAGCAAAAAAATACTTTTTTTTTTATTCTCACTATATAGCAAGTACAAGAACACGCACACATGCCCTAATACTACTCGATACTGTCTCTTCATTGGATCTGTGTTTCCTGGTGGAACCAAGTTTTTAATTGAAGGTGTTATGATAAACATTTGATGTTTTAAGCCAAATCCATCTATCCATAGATAACTTGGTCGAGTTAAAGTTAAGTGTAAAACAATTTTATTTCTTTTGCTCTTGTGTTTTTGTCTTTTATCATCCATCCATCATCCATCCATCCTTCCTTCCATTCATAGTTAGACCGGAACAGAGCATTGCAATAGTCCAGTCTGCTGGATATAAAAGTATGCATTAGTGTCTCTGTTTCACTCGGATGCACTTTAGTGATATTTTGAAGATGACAACAGGCAGATTTGGTGACTAACCCCACATGAAGTTTAAAATTCAGTTCTGAGTCAAAGCTGACACCAAAGATTCTGGTCTGTTGGCTCGGCGTCACTCCTTTGTGTCCGGTTTCTCATTTTAAGCTTTGAACCTATAAATAAAATATCAGTCTTGTCTTGGCTGAGCTGTAAAAGGTTTTATCACATCCACCACTGATATCTAAAATACATTTGAAAAGTGCATTAATTGGTCCTGGCATCAAGCGTGGTGATCGCATAAAGCTGAGTGTCATCAGCATAGCTGTGGAAAGAGATGCTGTGTCTCCTGATGACACCACTGAAGATATAGATTAGAAAGTAGTGGCCCTATAATCGGTCCGTCTTGAACCTCACAAGTTATGTTAGATTGTCTAAAGAATTTATCCTCTTTTGCTACAAAGAAGTGTTATTGAAGAGGTTTGGTAGGACTTTAGACACAAACATTAAACCCAGTCCTGTGTTTGGTGGTTAAAGATTTTTGATTGTCCCTCCTAGTGTCATACTCAATGTGTTTGTTTCCACGCAGGTCAGCCATCTCTTTGACAATGAGGGCACTGTAGCTTTTGCTATGTTCATGGCAATCTGGGGTGAGTTTATGATCTGATCTATTGTGATGTCTAATCTAATGCAATCTGTTTTAATGCAGAGTTCCTCTTCTGTGTATTTTCAGCCACTACGTTCCTGGAGCTGTGGAAGAGAACCAAAGCCAGACATGTTTCTCAATGGAAGCTCTATGACTGGTCTGAAGAAGAGGTACTGCTGTTTGCATAATTATTAATATATAATTTTGTCATGTTCTTGTGGTATTTTTGTTTTTATAAATTATTTTCCTATTTTGTTTTTTATGTCTACATTTCATTGAGCTTAATTTGGCAACATAACACTTGGCCTTGGAAAAACTTTAACTTATTGTCTTCTTACTGGATTTTCTGGAGCTTATGTCCTCATTGACCTGTCTTTACCACTGCATAGAGTTTGCTCATTTCTTGTATGTATGTGTGTGTGTTGACAGGAGGAACTGATTCTGGATCTAGTCAACGATCCAGACTGTACACCAAAACAGTTTGTACACTCCTACTTTCGAAGCACTGTGGTCCTCATTTTGGTAACACTTATGGTAAGACACACACTCGCAACACTGAACCCTTTGTAGAGTAATACCTAAAAGTAAGTGTGTTGTTTTTGGAGGCTGTGGTGTGTGTTGTGCAGTGTGTGTTGGAACACTACTTGATAGATGTAATTCATGGAATGTTTCTCGGGAAAAGTCTCTTTGTGGGTGGAGATGTGATCATTGATTACTGACTATCAGAGCAGTGTTCGCAACTGTTCACATATCTACAGGTATGTGCCAAAAAATTAGAATATTGAGGAAAAGTCCATTTATTTCAATAATTTGTTTCAAAAAGTGAAACTTGTATGTTATATTAGTTCACTGCACACAAAGTGAAATATTTCAAGCCTTTATTTGTTTCAATTTTGATGATTATGGATTAAAGACAAAAAAAACCCAAATCCAGTATTTCACAAAATTAGAATATCATGACAAAGTTCAACATTGTAGGCTCCTTGTGTCCCAGTCTAGTCAGCTAATTAATGCAAAACATCTACAAAGGTTTCCTCAGCCTTGAAATTGTCTCAGTCTGGCTTAGTAGGCTTCAGAATCATGGGGAAGACTGCTGACTTGACGGTTGTGCAGACGACCATCATTGACACCCTCCATAAGGAGGAAAAGTCTCAAAAGGCAATTGCAAAAGAAGCTGGATGCTCACAGAACGCAGTATCAAAGTATATTAACAGAGTGTTAAGAAGAAGGGAAGAATGTGGCCGGAAAAGGTGCAAAAGTGACAGGGATGACCGCAGCCTTGAGAGGATTGTCAAGCAAGGGCGATTCAGAAATCTGGGGGAGCTTCATAAGGAGTGGACTGAGGCTGGTGTCAGTGCATCAAGAACCACCACATACAGACGTCTGCATGACATGGGCTACAGCT